GATTTTTTTTTTTTTTTTTTTTTTCTTGACCAAATCCAACTTGAAAGTTTCAATGTTGTCTGGAGATGATGAAACTAGGTTCCACAATGCCCAACTTCAAAACTACCATTGTTAAATAGATGTAGAATGGAATGGTCGGAAAATTTGATGTTTTCCATTGCTCATCTCCTTGGTTTGTAACTGCTACTAGGATTCTGAATTCTTTGGTGGCTTCTAATAATGTACTGACCATTTGGATGTCAGTTTTGATATCTTTCACACAGGCTTTACCTTCCTTGTAACATGGAATGAACTCATCAGACTAAGTCCATGACCACTTCCAGTCCCTCATCATTGCATGTGGACAGGCAGAGAGTGTATGACATAAAGTGCCTCCACCAATGAGGGTTGCATTTGGTAAGTGATCATAGATGGATATTTGGCTCCATTGAAATCTGGGTATTCCATGATAGCATTGGATACATTATTCCATGAGTCCAGACCTTATTGTTTGAACTGAAAACAGAGTAGCTGTTCACTGCTTCTCCCTCGAGATTCTAGATTTCTTCAATCGGTCTCGTTTACCTTTTGGGATTGGAGAAAAACTGGGTGCAAGCCATTTTTGGGTCACCTCACAATCTCCTTGGTTTGTAGGCTGGATTCTGCTTGAATACACTTTGCTGTCAGTCTGCTGAATGCAATGACATCGTGTCCTCAATATAATGTACACCCAATGAGGAGATGACCATTGGTATAGAGACCACTGTGGAGAAGCTGGGGCAGCAACACCATGTTGTGAATAAGACAGTGTAATATCATACACCTAAATGACCACAGTCAGCAAACCATGTTGTTAGCAGCACCAAGCCTTCAGTCTGCCAGAGAGATGGATTCTGTCAATGGATTCAAGTCCATCTAGTGCCACTTTCTGCAACTCTTTACCTCAGTGCCGATCAATCAGTGGAATTTCAGAAATGTGTCCGAGGCTCTTCAGCGGCTTCTCTTTGACTATATCAGGATCATGTCACTCCAAATGCAGAAGTGAATCTCTCTGACAGAGCCTCTGAGTAATGATAAACTCTGACTTTTTGGCACTGCAGCAGTTCATTGGCACTGACCTTAGACTGCACCAGAATCGTGATATTATAGATGAATGCTCTGGAAGGAGAAAGTTCCTTTGTTCCTTAGTCATCACTCCCTTTGCTGTTTCCACTGTACCTTGTAATATGAGTTCCATGGATATAATAAAATGAAGTGGTGAAATCACATGCCTCATCATGATGGCGACCTCAAGAGATTGCCACTTGGTGGTGTAGTTACTAATGGTAAACTGTATAAATGCTGCTCTGAAATATTTCATTATCATTTCTCTAGGGAAACTGAAAAATTCAAGGGACATACAAATTAATTCATGAGGAACTGATCCATATGCATTCATGAGATCAAATCAATTACATGAAGCTCAGTTTTATTTTGTTTGGCTGATAAGATTGAGTTCCAAATCATGTGTGAATGCTCCAGACAGTCAGGGAAGCCAGGTATCCCAGCTTTCTTGATAGCTGTATTTATGTAATGGTTACCTAGCAGGAAGTCAGTCATACAATAAGCAAGGACTCAAAAATATTTTCCCCCTTTACATTCAAGAGAGAGATGGAGCAGAAATTTCCAATGCCTTTTGCATTCTTTTCATTAGGTATCCAAATGTCATCTGCCAGGCACCATTCTTGTGGTACAATACCTTGTTTCCATGCCTGTTGGAGAAGGATGATGAGTTGCTTGAGGACATTTTGACAATTCTTATATAACTTGTAGGACATTCTATTTTTTCCAGGTGCACTACCAGCATGGGTTTTGTGGACAAATTTCCCTCAGCTTTAGTCTGCTGTCATTAAACATGACCTCTGGATCTTAGGACCTAGGAAGGTCATTCATTGGAGTGATTGGAACATCTTTCCAAGCATCAGAATATGTCATCCTCAAGTGGTTCTTGAGTTCCTTCTGCACTACATTGAGCTTGCTGCTCTTAGTCTTGGTGAACAGCTTTTTAGCAAAAGTGTAAGGATTATTGTAAAATGATCTCCAAGACTATCGCTTTTTCTTCCAACATTTTATTTGGTTCTCAGCTCTAGAGATCACTAAGATCCTTTCTTTAATATCCTTAAGCAAGTCTTTAAGGCATCCCCTCTCATAAATTGGAACTTCTTTGTGTCAGTGTTCACAACTCTCTGCTCTTAGTTTACCCCCTTCTGAATCTGTCGTCTATTTGGTTGCTTCTCTTCTTTCCTATTCCCTTCTTGCAGTTGTCACACCAAACCACTCAAGACAAACCTTGTGCACAACAACTCTGCAGAAAAGATCTGATCTGTTGGCTAATGGATTCCTTTAGATGGTTGATAAGCATTAATGAAAGTTCCTGATTGAGATTCAACCAAGTAGCTCTCTTATTGCCTTTGGGCCACTAGATTCTTGGCTTGCTTGCTTGGTATTTCTCCAGGGTGTTGAGGCTCAGCAATGGGATCCCGAATACTGTGGATGTAACCAAGATTCAAAATCTCATCGTTTGACTTACATTCTCCAATAGAGAATATAAGTCCTTATGGATATGTAAACCTTGCAGGGTGTTGAATTACACTGCTTACAATACTAAACCCCCAGAATATTACTTTGCCACTCCTTGTTGTCTTCTAAATCCTGTTGGTTGACTATTTCCATGAAGAACCCGAACATCTAGCCCAATCATAAAGTTCCTTCAATTAGTTCTACATTTGACACAATTACAATACAAAAATCGGTTTCTTTGTTCAACTCTTGCAGATTTCACTTTGTGATGTTTTCTTGAAGGTGGTAGTTTTTTTTACTTGCTTTCATGCCTTTAGGCAGTGATCTTGCTTTTCTGCCTATTTTCTCTCCAATTATTAATCCGTTTTCAAATCTCTTTTTAAGACGCTGTTAAATCCAGTTTTTTTTTCTTCTTATATTGCCAAGGTTTTCAATTTCTGTTCTGAGTGTTCTAGTGATTTACTAAGCAGCATTTAGATGTGGGCACAAAACCAAAAGTAAGAACCACCCAGTGGGGATCTTGTTCTATGATTTCTATTCCATCTTTTCATAATTCCCAGCAATATGTTCTCATTACTCAATTATTTTACAATAGTGTATTTCTCCTTTGAGGCCATCTTTTTTTTACAACCAATGGCAATTTTTATCGATCTGAAATCCTGAAAATCAATGTTAATAACTACAGTATTATATATGATTAACCCTTGAGTTGCTTGATAAAATTTGAATCCTTATATATGTATTTTTTAAATTATTTTGTATTAAGAAATGTATCATTACACTAATGATTTTTCCAAACAGGTGAGCCAAGCCCGTCCTTTGGTAAAACAAATTGATCTTCAAAGGGAGGAGATGGAAAATGCAGAAAAACCGGAATACACAACAAAAAGTATCCCACTTCTTTTACATCAGGTCTGAGGTTACATTTCTACATTTTCTTTAGGATTTTTTTTATATACCAATCATGAATGGCAGAAGTAGTCATTTATGAGTGGTAAATTAATCTTGCAACTCCTTCAATGTATGAGAGTTGATGTGTTGGAATAAAACCACTGTATCTAGTTGCTACTTTGTTGTCAAAGAAATAAAATAATCAAAATGACATGCATGTATTAGGTTGAAACAAGTTTACATTATATTTCAATAAGTGACATTTGAACATTTTATATCATTTCACACGTCACTAAAATTTATGATATCTATACACATTCAGAAAAGTGACATTTCAATGCATTTTTCTATATGATTGGTCTGGATTGTGAATTTTAAATGTATTTATATTAAAAGTGAAAATGGAGGAAATTAATATGTGAATTTTACAATATTTGGATGTCACATGATTTCATGGAAAAATAATGAATGGACCACATTTCCATCTGTAATTCTCTGCTCAAATACAAAATGACACTTTTTTTTTTTTTTTTTTTTTAAATTAAGGTTCAAACAATGAAAAATGTATTGTTTACAACAATGTGGAGCAAAAAAAAACCTAGGACAATGAAATTGAGCCACTGTTAACCACTCCAAAAGCCAGTGTACATCCAAAGAAGGTGAGGCTGTATTTCTGGTGGGATTGGAAGAGCATTGTTTATTATGAACACTTTCCACAAAATCACATGTTGAATTCAGATAAGCATTGTTCCCAGTTGGATGATGAAAACCAGCAATTGATGAAAAGTATTTGGAATTGGTTTATTGTAAGGGTGTCATCTTCTATCAGAACAATTTTTTTTTTTTTTTTTTTTTTTTTTTGCAGAGGTGGCAAAAATTGGTACAGTTTGGCTGGGATGTCCTTCTACACTTGCTATACTTACCTGGCCTTGCAACTTTGGATTACCGTTTATTTTGATCCTTACACAATTCTTTTAATGGGAAGAATTTCACTTCTCTGGAAGCCATTAAAAAAAACCAAAAAAAACTTAAGCCTGTTTATCACCCAGAAAGATATCAAGTTTTGGGAGGATAGAATCATAAATGTGCCACAAAGATGGTAAAAATTAGGACAAAATTGCATATATGTGGTTGAATATGAACAAACATCTAAATATGTTCTTTGAAATACACTTAAAAATGCTATACACTTTTGTTCTAGCATGTGATGTTGACTGCACCAGCTTTTAATTCTTACACCAAATTTCTCATACAGTATATTAATAAATGCAATAAATTATATCATTGATTCGTTTTCTATGGCTTATCTAACCTTTGTAAGTTATTTAAAGCCAGATAATATTTTTAGATTGTAAGACTTTTTATTTTTTTTATTTTAATTTATTTTTATTTTTGAGATAATAATAGTTTAATGATACAAGTTTTACTACTTAACCAATATCTGGGGGAGAAGAGGTGAATTCATACCTTTCCCAAGAGTAAGTGAATATAACAAACCCAATAGGAATTGAAACTTGATTGCCAATTAACTATTCCAAGCCATTATCCATTATACCATCCACACATCCAAACTTACAGCACCTGGTATTCCCATGTGGTCACCGATCGAAATACTGATCAGGCTCCATGTTGCTTAACTTCGGTGATCTTAGAGGAACTGGTTTTTCAATGTGATGTGGCTGTAAGCCTGAATTGTAATTGCTTTGCACTGGTAGGCATTTTTCTACATCTCTACTAGCATTGCTACCACAACTTTCATTCCAATTTTAAATCTCTTTCTCATAGCTTAGTTCATTATATCTTTTCTAATCATTCTTCTGTATTTTGTCTTCTATTCTCATACACTTTAACAATTACAATTCTAATGATTACTTAAGAGCAGATAAATAGATTTATCTATCAGTGATATAACCTCCAAATATTTAAAGAATACCAGAGATATATTTTGTTATTTTTGTTTTTTTAGATTCTTACATGGATATAAAAATTCAAAATCTAGATTTAATTTTATTCTAAGTATTTATTTAATTACCTTAAAAAGATTACTCTCAGCTAACAAGATACTTATATATTGCTAACTTTGGTATAAAATCTATGAAGCACCTACTGAATAATGAACAATAGTTTGTGCAGATAGTAAGTTTTACTTTGTTTTTCTCCAGAGACTAATTTAGCTCTGCACTAATTAAAAAAAATAAATAAGTAAGCAGTTTGCATTGTGTTCATTGTTACTTTTAATACATGAATTTGTATATTTTAAATATTAACAAGATGTTGTTTCTGCCTGAATTTCTAGGATGAATAGTTATCATTATTTACACTTTTTACATGCAGACTAAATTCTCAATTTTGTTGTCATTGACAACATTTCGGCTGTTGTGCCTTCCATCCCCCATAAGGTGTATATCAATCTGGACAACCTACAGTGAATTCCGAACTAAACACTTTATTTAATAGGAGGTAGACTGTTTTCAGTCTACAATCCATGTCTAGGGATATCTTGTCTAATTCTTCTTTTTAATACTACTCCGTTATTGCTTGCCATAGGCAAGATATCCCTAGACATGGGCAATGGAATGAAAACAATCTACCCCTGTAAATTAAATAAAGGCTTCAGTTCTGAATTCTCTGTAGGTTACCCAGATCAATATACACCTGATGAAATCCAGAGGGTCCAACCGCCAAAACATTGTGATAACAACAACAAAGATGAGGACAATAGTCTGAATGCAAATAGTATAAATAAAAAGATATAGGAATGATATTCCTATATTTCATTTGTAGAAATAGTGATAAATTGCTATCACTGATTATATTGTTACCTCACCATGGGAGACATATATGATGGGTGCTGAAGAGTTCTCAGTCTTGCCTTGCTTGGGTTGAAAAAAAAAAATACAAATTCTAATGTTTGGTCACTTCATCAGATTTGGGGAATTTGGTTGAGCTGAGAACATTTCAGTATCCCTTCATATAGACACTGTATTTCCAACACTTGTAATTTGTCAAGAAATATGGAGAAAGAAAACTGAAGAATATTAAACGCCTGATTTAGCCTTACTTCTATACTGGCTTTTATATTTTAATTTTATAATTTAATCATTTATAATCAGGTATTTTTCATTCTAGGGTCATCAGGGGATTAGTGTGTCAAATACGGGGGTGTATTGATAAACTCTGGTGAGCCAACTATCAGTGTATAAGATACAGAGTGATTTGTGGAAGATTTTTTTGAAAAAACAAACAAAATCTTATATGGCTGGAAATATACTATGTAGATATATCAATTAGTCCATAGCTTAAAGGTGAAAAACATATTCTCAACAATGTTCTTCCTTGTCAATGCATTTAATGCTTCTCTATTCTCTATATAGATTGAACATAATACAGTGAAAAAAATCAGGGTGACATTCAGGTAATAACTGTTTAGGTTATGGACTTATTGATCCAACCTTGTATCTGTTAGCCTCAAATTTCTTTTACTGAACTACTATAAAATTTGACCCACTTGCATATGCCAACATTCTTATCACAGACCAAAATTAAAAATAGTTGTGCTTGCGATGATCAGTTGCACCTTTTTACAGCCTTGTTTAAAGTCATACTGAAAACAAGGTGGTTTTCTTTTTTCTCTGCAAACCGGGCTGAAAATCAATCATCTAAAGTGTTATACTAACGACATTTACAGAAGAAAATGGTGAAGTAATTCAATGGCCAAAGCACTCTGCTCTTGTGCATGAGTTTTCTTCTGTTTTTTTTTTTTTTTTTTTTTGCATATCTACGGCACGAGGCCAGTGAACATGCAAGTCCGTTTCACTCCTACCCAACTGAGCAAAGGGTACCAAGTTGAATAAACTTTAAAGTTTATTCATTTCATTCTTAGCTGGGGGACTCTAAAACATAACTAGTCCTGTAAACTACTTTAAAAACTGCTGATATCTTTGCCATGGGCTAGTAGCAAACTGACCCTAGGTAGGTTTGGGTGAAGTGAACTTAATGACTTTTTGAGAAAATTTATTTGTATTTTTATTTGTTTAGCAACTACACAAAAAGATTCATGTTTCTGAAAAATGTCGGATATGTTAATAACTTTTTTTTTTTTTTTTTTTTTTTCAACCCAAGCAAGGCAATAAAGCCACTAGGATGCAAAAGGTTCTGGAGTGTTAGAGAATGAGAAAAACTACTATTAAGAAGAGAGGACAATAAAAGAATTAAGACAGAAGATAATGATTGACAATGCATTTAAACTTTTGAAGATCAAAGTTGACTGGAAAGCATGAAGTCAGAAGGAAGTTCCACAAGCAAGAAGTGTGGGAAGAAAAGAATGTGTTATCATAGAACTTAATCATTTCAGTTATAAATTGATGAGAACTTTCCACCGATCCAGTATTGCACTTAAATTCATAGTCTAGGTATCATAGAGGTAAGCTCACTAGAACCATTACCATGAAAGTATTTATAGAAAAGGCACAGGGAAGATATTTTATGGTGGCAGGAAAGGGACTGAAGTAGAGATGTCAGGTCAGGACCAATACCATTGTAGATTCTTGGATTTTAGCAAGAATCTCAGGATATATGGCAGGAGCACTGGATCATATGTAGCAAAACAAGGGTGTATGGTAGCCTTATAGATATGTAAAATAAATTCTGACAAAAATTAACCATCTTTCTTAGTTATTTTTGAGATCAGTTACCAATTTGACTTTATTGAACTGATCAAACTTACTATTAAGACAGGAGTAAATAATTTTCAAGTTATTTGTTTTCGGTAATAGCAACTCTAAAGATATCTGAAAGTAACAAAGTTGTGCCTTGTTTTTTAAAAAAAATCATAGACTAAGTTTAATTATACAATAATCTGATAAATGCTTTAAGGGAATAAACTTTGTAAATCTGAAGATAACCAGAAATTTCTGAAATCTTCTAATGTCTTATATTGTTTTTGCAAACCATCGATCATGACTGAAGGTTTAACCTAAAAATATGACAGTTTCTACACTAATTTCTTTTCTTCTGTTGCAGCATTTTACAGATCGCATCTACCAACTGATACAATGCAAGCACCAACACTTATTACGCTGGAAACGTTTCTCCACTAACACAACAAATATAGAGGCTCTTTATCCAGAATACAGTAAAAGAGTTAGGTAAAAGACTCTTTCACAGTTGTAACCTATGCCTTATAGAAAAATTAACAATTTAAAAAAATTAAAGCTTGAAGTATATAAGTTGTGTGGATGTGTGTTTTTACACGTTTTTCTTTCCATTTATTTGCTTTATTTTAAATACAAACATTTTTAAAACAATCACTGCAAATAATATTGACTGCTTCAATATTTCAATAGTCTGGTGTATATATATATATATATATATATATATATATATATATATATATATATATATATATATATATGGACTCTCCCATTGGTTTTGACATATGAGGATCTGCCAGCTTATTGATTCAGTTATGAAAGTTTATGCGCTAATCTTAAATGGCATTTAAAACCCGCTAGTGATTTACAAAGGAGGCCACATATGGAGCAATTGTGAGGATTGTGAGATGAGATCACTGTTAGACCGGTTGACCTTTTAGGTCTTGCTCTCGCTTCTTGGAGATGATTCAGACAAGCAGATTGAAAATTGCTGAGTTCAGTAAAACACGTTGATCTTCATTCTACCCGCTCCAAAGCTAAGCGCTCAAGGGTGTTATGTGGTATATTGACTGCTGACAAGTTACTTTTCATCTTGTCTTTGTATCTTAGCCATGGGCATCCTACATTCTTGTAGCCCTGATCTAACTGGCTGTACATTAGGATCTTGGGTATCCTGTCATCAGACATTCTCAAGACATGACCAGTCCACCGTAACTGAGACTGTATGATAAAAGTCTTGATTCCTCCAATATTACACCTATTAAATAGGTCTACGTTAGATGTCCTATCTTGAAGCTTAACTCCACAGATTGCACACAGACAGCTTTTATGGAAAACATCCAACTGGCGTATATGGTACCTGTATGGAGTCCATGACTCTGCCATACAAAAGGATGGCAAGTATAACAGCTCTGTAAACCCGAATTTTCGTATCCAGTTGAATACCCGACTCATTTCACAAGCAATGGCGAAGTTTATATATATATATATATATATATATATATATATATATATATATATAATATATCAATTTAAATTATGTAATGGTCAGTTTTAACTCAGCACCTGAAGATTGTGTTGTGCAAGAAACTCAATTGTGCTACTAATATATATATATATATATATATATATATATATATATATATATATATATATATATATATTCATGCATGACAATTTCCCAATTGCTATTTTATAAAGTTTTATTTCCTACCAAATCCAATTTCTTGTGCCAGACACAAAACCTAATAGAAATAGCAAGTCAGTTTAATAGGCATGAAATTATAAAACAACACAGCCGTTGCGTAAAATTTTAAAAAGAAAAAAAACATTTATTTTAACAGTATTACAAAAGAAAATATACAATAGAAGGTTGCACAAAAATTTCTTTTTGTGCATCTATTACGGCAGGATAAGTTTTTTTTGAGGTTACAAAAAAGAGAAAAAATGTTTTACAATTTTTTGAAAAAGAGCCATTGGATTGAAAGACCAAAAAAAAAATGACACCCTTTAAAAATGGAAAAACCGGG